AGAGATCATTGGTCTAGAGTTATCAAAAAAATTTTTGAATCAAAAGAAATATCAACTAAATATAAAATCAACTTAGTAAACAAACAAGTAAGATATATAGTTTTGAATTTGAAAAGCCTACACCTATTAAATAAATCTTTATTATTTTTGTATTAGTGATTTTAAAATATAACTTGATAAATAAAAATAGTTTTAATAACTTTGAAAAAAATAATTTAAAGTAATATTAAATAATCTGTATATATCTAATTATAATTGTTATATAATATATAGAAAAAATGATAGTATAAAAATTTAACAATTTATATCTAATTAAACAACAATAATATCTTAATTTTGTCTAAAAATTAATGTTTGTATTAATAAAAAGTAGAAAAAATATTAATAGCAAAAGGCTAATTTATATCAAATTTATATAAAGAATAATAAGTATCACTATATAAATATATATTTTGTAATATGTAACTATATGCTATTGGAATATTTTATATATTAAATAGTCAAGTCAGTATAAGTATTATAATAAAAAACTTAATAGTATATAGATATTAATTTGTAATATTTGTAAATTAAAAAAAAAAAAATTATTCAAAATAATAAGTAGTAATCCAGATATTAGAGTCCTTTGGACTCTTATATAACCAGAAATTTATCTCTTATTTCTGTTATTGTGAAAAATAAATAATACTTATTTATTTTTTTATTTTATTTAGTCAGCAATAATCATAATAGTAAGTAAAATTAAAATAAGCTATTTTTTATATTTATATTAAATTAGTTTGTAAGTATAGTCTAAAATTTTTCTACTTTTTAAGTTATTCTATTTTGAGAAAATTATAAATTATCTGTTATTTCTTATTAAATTACTTATTTAGAATAGAAAATTAACTAAAAGAACTTACAAATATAATATAATATATTTTATAAAAAAAAAAAGATATAGTTAGACTTTAATATAATTACCAGGTTGGGAGACAAAATTCTAGTAATTTTTTTTTTCCTTTGATAATCTTGCATTAATTTATTAGAATTTTAGTAATTTACAAAATTAACTATCTAATTTACAGATTAGACAAATACCCGGCTGCTATAAAAGTGCTCACACTGATGTTGCCAACAATCTCCATATACAATAATACCTGTATTTAAAAACCTGCCATAGCTTGGTACTCAGCTATCTACATTAGAACCAATTAAATTTTACCTTTTTTTTAAACTTATTCCACCAATATTCAGGCAGAATATATTTTTTTCTACTTCTGCATAATGCAAATATATATACTATTTTATAAAAGAAAGACTTTTTTTAAGAGCTGATCCTTTCTTTCAAGCTTATCTTACCTTAAATTTTGGTAATATCTTCCTGAACTCAATTTTCTTAAATCCCAGCAGATTATATATATTACCTTCTACTTCTATATAAGACTAATATATATGCCAACATTATGAAGGAAGATACTTTAAAGAAAATCTTAAAAGCTTCTTCATAACTAAAAAAAAATAGAAATTGTTCTAAAAAAGAAAACAGAACTCAAAAGAGAAAATGAAACAACAAGAAAAAAAGAAAAGGGGAATCTAAACCTATTCTAATATAAAGAAAAATAGATGAAACAAGCAGAAAAAAGAAAAATTAAGCAATCTGACACACTATTATAACCTGTGCCAGGTGATTTAAAACTTATATACCAGATGCAATATCTGTATATCTCTGTTGTAAGACTAAACTTAATATTAAAATTCCCTCCAACCTATTTCCAAATATTTTTAATAATCTAGCCTGTATCTCAAACCAAATGCTGTTGCTGTACTAGAATCTGACTTACTATATACAGTACCAACGATGACAAATATCACGACATTTCCATAAAGGCATCATCACTCAGATACTCATGTCTCAAGCCACTTGATGCTGCCACCAGGGATTTCTTTTTTGACCAGAACTTATTCCAGGGCCCATGCACCTAATTTGTCTCCAAATACATAGTTGCTATCTACCGGTCCATCTGAATTTGGTAAGTAAACAATACTGATCTTTTGAAGGAGATAAGCCAAATCTCCACTTTTTATGAAAAATTTTAAAGACCAATAGAAAAATAACAAGAGGTAAAGAGGGACTACTTGAGCTTAAAACCAATTTAAAGGAGTGTGAGTTTTCTTTTCAATAGTCAAAACCCAATGCCCAACATCTGCTTAATATTTTTTTGATGAGTGATAAACTCTGGGCTTGTCGGCAGATAGCATATGAGAACTACCTTTAAATGACAAGTGCTAAGACTGTGCAGTGAGTAATAAACTCTAAGCCTGTTGGCAAATAGCATATAAGAACTACTTCTAAACAACAGATGCTAACTTATTGTCTAGTATGTCAAATGCTGGCTTGTAAGATCTCTTTTTGCAGTAAAATGTTTTTTAGAAAATGTAGTTCAAGTAATCATCAGAAAGAGTTAAAATTCTGGTAATTATAATTAGTATAAATAAGAAATTAATTGACAAATAACAGTCTCAGATATTACCAAATATGGAAATCAATTCATAATATAGTAAAGGATACTCTAGAATCGATTTATATATAAAATAACTAGTAGCAGGATCATGGACATGTTAATAATAAACTTTTGAATTAATTCAAATATAAATAGTCTTAAAGATACATAGTTTAGGGATCCCACATGATCCTGGGAGCTTTATAAGGTGGTTGTTTACTAAATCAGTAAACAAACATGATTGGTGTAAATTTATCCCTATAGACTAGTATAGAATAGCTATAGACTTAAATGGAAGTACCAAGAATTTTCTAAATGTACAAAAAAGGGTGTGATCTGCATTGTCCTAATTTGGTAATATCCGAAAATAATATTGACTGAATTAACTTGAATAAATTGTTTATTAACAAATTAGTACAAATAATAAACTAATAAGTATATATATTGTTTTGAGTAATTTGGTTGTTAAATTATTTTATACTTAGTAGATTAGAAGATCTTATACAGTAATACCTCCCTAAGTACACCCTCTCTAAGTGCATACTCACTTTAAATATATACTATAGCCTGGTCCCAAGCTTGGAACTTAATGCTAAGTACACACCTCTATGTTCTACATGTGCAGAAGATTTGTAATCCTGGACTTATATATGCACCCCATTAGGGTTGTTGGTTTATCATAATTTTTGATTTTTTTGATAAATTTACCAGGCTGTTTGGTAAATTACCTGTAAATTTACTTCTAAGAAATGTTTGTGCAATATAAAATCATGTGATTTGATGATTAAAAAATTTTTTTGGCCAATCAAATTACATAGACAGACTTAACCTTAAGTATATAACATAGGATGGCAAAAAACATGTTTTTTATTTTTTTTTTATGTTTTAAAATATGTTTTAAAACATGTTTTAAAACATTTTTATGTTTTTTATTAAATAATATATAAAAATATTTTTTATGTTTTTTATTAAATAATATATAAAAATATTTTATATGAAGTTGCTATTTTTAATATTAAACTTTAAAATTGAAACTTCATATATATATATAATTCTAGTCAGATACTATTAGATATTTAAAGTAGCAACTTCAAATAGGTAGCTACTTTAAATAAATAATAAACTACCTCAAGAACACCTCAAAAATTCTACGCAACCTATCAGATTTCAGGATCAGGTATAATATTACACGATCAAGAAAATTCAAAACAAATGTTCGCTTTGTCAAAAATTGCTTATTTCTCAAAAAGATGAATAAGAAACTACTAACAAAAAAATTTCTTATTAAATTTTAATATAAACTATTGCTATAATCTTGCCATAAGGTTGCTCTAACTTTACCCTAATGCTAAACTAATATTAAGGCTTTATTACTCTAAATTCGATTGTTTTGATTTCACATTACACCTGATCTTCAATTTTGATTGGCTAATTTTTAGAAGTGTTCTTGGGGTAGTCTAAGTAATATGCCAATTATATGATTTTTGAATTTATAATTTGTTCTAGAATATTCTAAATTTTTGTATATATAGCACAATACTACAAATAATAATGTGATTAAAATTCTATAATCTGATTAGTTAATTAATATATATTTGATTTTTATTGGTTTTTATTGAAAATTTTTAATATTTTAAAACATTTAAAACATGTTTTAAAACATGATGTTTTAAAACATTTGTCATCCCTAATATAACAGTAAGTTTACCACACCTTTGGTAAATTACCTGATAAATTACTATATTTTACAAGTAATAAATTTACCACCAACAACTCTGCCCCTGTAAATGCACTTATGTAATAAAGGCCAATATTCAGCCAATAAAATTCAAAATCATATTCATATATATTGTACAGTTTTCACAGAAAATATAATTTATAATAAAGTAAGAGTTATATCATCTCTTTTTCGAATCTATACTTTATTTAAAGTGCCAATATTCACCTTGTGAATTAAACAAGAAAAGTTTCTATTATATAACCTAAGTAATCTAATAATGCTAGAAATCTAAATTTACTCAAATGCATCTAATCTAATTCATTAATTTTAACATACTAGATACTGTATAAGCAAAAAAAATCTGTTTATAAAGACTATTTTTGATTTATTTATTTATTTTATTGTTTTTTTACTTTATACAAAATGATCTAATGATTTTTTTCAAGTTCTAATAAAAAATTAAAGGTCATTTCGAAAGATCAATGTACAAAGAGTTGTAAAAAATGATGCTGTAAATTGCACTTTTTTTTTTATAAAAATATCTAAAAAAAAAAAAATAAAAAATTACAATTACTTATGACAGAAAAAAATAATAATTTGCCATTTATATTAAAATGATTATTTATTTATTATTCTATAAAATAGTCATTAATTTTACTTTACTGTTGCCAGTTCATTTTTTTTTTGAAGAAATTTTTTAATTTTTTTTACAGCCTTAATATACTTGTTTGCTTCATCTTGTTGAAGCAAACACATATACACAGTCTCTAAGCTTGCAATTGCTATATTGATGCTGATTAAAGAATTTCAATACTATTATCATCTTCTGAATCATCACAAGTTATATCAACTGGCCTAAAAGTTTTTATAAGCTCCTTAATAACTTGGTTATTTTTAGAAATTTTATAAACAACATCTTCCACAGAAATTGAAAGAAATTCTTTAACTAGCATTGGGTCAACAAGATGAATATGGAGATCTTCAAGTGTATTAATAAGATTATCAAGTGTTGGGTCTATAGTCTAATGGATGTTATCTGTGAGGCTATATAATTTAGCATTAGTATCAATAGAAAAGATATTTGTATGACACTAGCAGTTATGAATTGTTTTAGTAGCAACTTCATCCCAGCCTTGAATAATAAACTGTATAGCTTTCAACATATCTATTTTTAGTTCATCAACATATTCATCCTTTTCTACATACTCTAATATCCAGCTTAAAAAAAATAAATAAATAAAAAAAAAAAAAGTATGTAAAACCTACTCATAAAAAAAATTATAGTCTTACCGAATATAATGACGATGATAGTATTTCTTAAAACTCATTATGATTCTGGTATCTAGTGGTGGATCCTGGAGTTTGCTCTTGAAAGAGGAAAAACAATATTAGTGAATTGTAAAGTAAGGCTATCTAATTTATGGCTTGAACAATTATTAAGAACTAACAGCACATGTAGACCCTAATACTTTAAACCAACTTACCAATCAAACTCTTGAAGCTAAGTTTGGAAAAGAGAAGTAATCATCCAAGCCTTGGCACTGTTTTTATATATAATAGCTAAGTTTTTAAGCTTAATATTTTTAAAGCAGTGTGGCTTGACATATTTGCCAATTACAAGAGAGACTATTTTATGAGAGCTATTAGCATTTGTACATAATGCAATTGAGAGATGCTTTTAGTTTACTTTGTGCCCAGAAAGATGTCGAGTTGCCAATGATCAATTAGGTTCTAATCTACAAAGTAAGTTTTTTTTTTTTTTTTTTTTATATTGCCAACATAGAAACTTTATTAGTCATGATAAACACCTTTTTACAGATCAATTAATATACAGTTTCTAATTACATTTGTGCTACTATTACTAGTCACCCAATGTGGTATTATACTCCTTATTTTC